ATTATGCTTCCCTAAAATCTTCAAAATATAATTGTATCTTTAGTCACTGATTAAAAATAACAGCTCCCAAATATGACAAAGAAATAGAAGATGAAGAGAAAGAATAGAATGTTTTAATGGCTATTTGTACTTTCTCTGGAAATGGATAAAGGGAATGTTTACATCTTTCTAATGAAGCATTTTAGTGAATATGACTTATTTAACTTCCTTGTGGGCTAAGGCGGATGGGTTTTTAACAATTACTCAGTTGGAAATTCAAAAAACTGGGCTAGTTTATTATCTATTACTCCGTATTATTTTTCGAATACATCAAAACAAGTTTAAAAGAAAAATTAAAATTTCTATCACGTAAGGTAACCAGAGGCAAATATCTTATTGAGTTGAATAACCATCTTAAAAAGGAAAATTTAACACTTAGATCAACTTCTGAAAAAAGGCTAAAATAAGTGGATTTGATTTGCATATTCCTGAATATGCCCAGAGATTTGATGGGTCACGTTCCGAAAGGTCCCCAATGAGAATAGGTAGTCTCCACGGGGTACAAACACTTTAAATAAATAATGGTGTATAAAAATATCCATGAAGTAATGCAGTAATCATGGCCAAGAGTAAACCACTAGTGGCTGATAGAAAGTGACACTCAGACAAGCAAAGACACTTTCACCCATATCGTGTGCTGAGTCTATGAAAAGTTCTTGCATCCCTAGATGGGAATTACTAAAGCTACTCTCCATCTGCTCAAATACGCACCCAGACTGATCATAGGAAAGGATATGGAGCATTGCTCATGCATCTTTATCCAGAGTAATAGAAGTCGAGACATTTCAGACCCTAAGTCAACAAAGAGAAAACCTTTTTTGAAGAAATAGTGCGGATTGCAATCTATAGCTTATGTAATTACAAATGTGCTCAAACATGTCTACGTTAGGGGAAAAAAGACATAGGAAATTCCATATCCCCCTTACCCGCCCTCCCCCCCCCCCCCCCACCACTCATAGGAAACTGGCTATATAAGGATCTCCCAAATCTAAGGAAGTTAATAAAACAAAGCATGGTCTTAAAAAGGACCACATTTGCCTCCATACAACTGACAACAAAAATCTCCATCAGCTAATATTACCTGGTGGTTTTTGGTACCAGCCACAACCTTGCGATGATCATCGTTGCTTAGGAAGGTCAAAGATGTAAAGCAAGTTGGCGTAAAAATTCCAAGGTTATTCGCTTGGGGCTGCAAAAGCATAACAACAATAAACAGAATTTATGTCTGCTTGACAAAAGTGAAACACAACAAGGTCACATTGCAGTTCAGGAAGTAATTAATTAGTAAAATTATTTAGCTTACAGATTTTGCACTCCAAATCTTACTAGTCTTCTCTAGGTCCCACATGTTAATTTCAATGCCTTTCCTAAAAATAAACATAATAACAGAATTTAAAGCATATCATTCAACACAAAATCAACATTATTTAAATGAAATGAAACAGTAAAAGATCTTAATTTTTAAATTTCTTAAGAAATATAGTTCTGAATACACAAGGCTTACCCTCCAAACACAGAGTAGCCTTCATCAGCATGTACTTTGGAGCAGCAAATCTCACCAGAACCGCACACACTCCACGTTTCTGGAGTAGCAAAAGAAACAGAACCAGTGTGTGAATCAAAATCTTCGATTCTTCTCAAGCTTTCTTTCCCTTTAGTTGTACAAGAAAGCAAGGTGCATGACCTAGTTACACATAAAACATATAGAGATTAATTTAATACCACCACAGTGACCCCATTGTATCCTTTACTAACTCAGGTCAAAATTTAAAAACCAAAAAGAAACTTTTATTTTCTGATGTCATACAAAGAGAGTTAAAATGACCTACCTTTATGATGACTCTACCATCCGCTTTTTAAATAAATGCAATCCAGCAATCGGGTCATCTAATGGAGAAGTGTCATCACCATCATCGCAGATTGAAAAACGCAACTCTCCAGTAACCGGACTCAAAACTTCAATCTGAATAGTACAATACCGTGTACACAACGCAGCAAAAACTATGAGCTTAAAACAGGATACACATGATACCATTTACATTGGTGTTGACATGGGAAGCAAGCAACTTACTGCACCATTTTTCCTGGCAACTGCTAGCAACTGAAGCAATCAATAACAATATTTAGAAGATTTTTCAATTGAATAGATACAATGAAGTAGCATAATATGTACAAAATCTACAACTTTTCCTATAAAATTAAGGCATACGAGCATGTTAAACCAGACAAGAAAGTATATGACACGGCACACCCTTGGAATATAGCTCCATCCTTCCAGATTTAATTGTCAAACTGATGATGTAATTTGAACTCATACTCTAACAGCAAAGCCTTGTTCATGTTCACATTATTTCCACTTATATAAATTAAGTGAATAGAACACACTCTAAACCCACAAAGGGATAGTTAAACTACAATCCCAAACATGCACTGTGAGGCTAAAACTCCATTTCATCAAGAAATATAGCTAATGAAACAAATATACAGTCTTAAACGCATTAAGAAAACGTTGTCAGGCAATAACACAAAAAATTAGAATTAAGCAAACACAGTACATAAACCAAAACAACAAGCTCATCACAATACACTAACTTCACAAAAACACGCACACAAAAAAGTAAGATCATAAGCAAAAATATAAACATAGGAACAAAAAACTCATACATACATGGTTGGATTTTAGGTCATTGATAGAAGCGGCGAGGATAGCTTTAGAGGAATCAGGGTCACCCCACCTCTCTACAACCTTAGGAACTCCATCTAGCTTACTCCGAGCTTCAATTACTGAACAACAATGGCGATAATTTTGTAAGGAAATTATTCAACAAAAATTAAAAAAAATAAAAAACAAAAACACCCATGAAATGAATAAATTGTATGGTAATATTAAGCATAAATTAAAATTAAAGTTAGTATTTTTAACAAGGCCAAGTACGTCGAAAGTTAGGGCTCTTAATGGTGGGCAACCTGGGCATTCTATTGTGGTTGTTCGCGGCATTTCTGTATATGGGCAGAGGATTGCAACACATTAAGCAACCAAATTTGACTTAATTAGCAAACCTTAAATTCTTCGACTAATTAAATACAATAGTTCAATCATCTGAACCCCCAATTGAGTATACTGAAAATTAAATTAACGAAAGTGTGGAATTAAACAATTGAATATGAAATTGATATTCGATAATTAAAAGGAAGGTACCTTGTTTCAGAACCTACTTCAATGGAGGGGAGAAAGCTCAGAAGCCGCTTCAATGGAGAATTTCAGAGTATGGTTCAATGGAGGAGAAAGAGAGGGAAGGTTACAGCTAGGGGCGTATTTAGGGTGGGTTAGTGCCAACCCAATTTTTTGAAGTTTTTTTTTTTTTTTGGAAAAATTGCTCAGAATAATTCGTACTTTGCCTTATTTGCTCAAAATAATCACAACTTTCGATTATTTTTAGAAAAATTGGCTTAAAATAATACCAACTATTAACGTGTGTGTAAAATAATAGGAACTCAATTACTTGCTATTAGCGGTACCACCTTTATGAAGCGGAATAAAAAATAGGAGTATATAAAAAAAAAACGTCCGAATCAGCATTCTCCGGCACCTTCCTGCACCTTATAAGGCTATCCCCCACCACAATTTCCAGTTTTCCTCAAACTTCCGCGTTTTAGAGAGATAATCTTCTTCATTCTCATCAAATGTCACAACCTCACGAATTTCGATCTATCAGTTTTTCACGGTTAGTGCTATTTCATTTTTTATTTTGATTTTGATTTTGATTTGATTGTTTCAATGTACAATTGTTGTGTTCTAGATTTTCCTGGTGAATTTTATTATTAAGCATTGGCGACTTGTTTAGGGTTTGTATTTTGTGACTTTTTTAATGTTAATGACTTGTTATTAGATTTGATTTTGACTGATTGTTTCAATTTAAATTCAATTGTTGTTTTTACAAATTTACGACTCTTTTTGGGTTTGTATTTTGTGATTTTATTTGTTTGATGTTGATGATTGATCGTTAGGTTTTATGTATACCATTCGCCCATTATATACATAAGTGGGTACCCAAAACCGAAATCGGTATCCGGTGATTCCAATTCTAAGTCCTTAATTTTAGGACCTGGTTTAACAAATTTCAATTCCGGTTCCAGATTTAGGACCCCGTCCCAACCAATTCCGCGTCTGGGTCCTAAAATTTTGACCGGTTACCCAATTTGCTCACCCCTAGTAATTATTAGTAATTTGGTCATGATCATGTGGTATTATTGTTGAATGATATCATAATAACTATATTATAAATTCTAAATTTTCATTATTGGATATCATATTGGATACCCGATAATCGTTCCTAAAATTCGGGTACCCGAAGTTCAAGTAATGGATATCATTTTTATTGTTATTGGTTATCGGGTATCCGAACTGATAGTGTAACAGTGCGGGAACCTGTTTCATGCTCACCCTTAATAATTACTAATCATTTAAATTATGAAGTGATTACGATGTAAAGTAAGAGTTTAGATTTTGGATAAATAGATTTACGTAGGAAAAAAAAAATTGCTTATCGGATCGAATTACCGTTAATTTTAAAATGATACCCAATAACCGTACCCGATAATAAATTATCGGATCGAGTACCTGAATTGTTGTGGTTATTGAGACGGGTACCTTAATTTTCGATTCGGATTTTCAGATAATTTTGGTTAGCCCTACTTGTTAAATAATCTAATCAATATACATGGTTAGTGTTAAATACTATAGTAGCATACTAGTCATTTTATTACTTATTTTAATTTATATTCTGAGTGTTTTTATATTATTATATTTACTAAAAAATACGGAGTAAAATATTCCGTATAATACAATTTGATTCTTTGTAACTATTCTCATTACTACTTACCCACGTGATTTTACACTTTTCTTAATCTTTGTGAAATATTAAAAACGGACACTTAATTTTGGGACGAGAGAATATAAAATTGCGTCAAATTTTTTGAAAGAAAGGGTTCATAGGAGTAACAAGAGACACTAAACTTAGAAACACTCGAGTAAGATTATTATTCATACGATAATATACGCTTTATGTTTTCAAATAAATCAGTCTCAACTTCTAAGCCATACAATAATATAGCATAAAAAACCAACTTCTCACCAAACCATACAATAAGATAACATTATTAATCCTACGATAACATACGCCTTACATTATTACTCTCACCAAACCATACAATGCAGCATAAAAAAAAGCAGCTTCTCTAAATGCCCAACCTCTTCTTTAACTCAAAAATAAACTCATAAACCTTGTTTTGGTCAGGAAGAGCTTTAGCCACACTTTCCCTTTGCATGCACCTCTTAGCCCATTCAATGATCTTTGGGAAAGATTCTTCAATCTTGAAGTTGGCCAATGTTTCATAGGCGTGAAACCAACTATAGAATGGGATGAAAACGACATCAACAAACCCAAATTCATCTCCTCCAAAGTAAGATTTGTTCCCTAACTCTTGCTCCAATACCTTCAAATGCTCAATGAATTCCTTCTTCGCCGCCTCTTGATCTTCGCCTTTAGTGGTCCAAACTCTCCTCCTAGTATCGTATATCTGTACAAATGTTAGTCATTTGATAAAATGTTGAACATACATCTTCATCTAACTTAACATATAAATTATTACAAAATGAACCTATTTCAACTAGCTAGAGTAGTGGTAGTGAAAATCAAACTCACCATTTTATAATTAGGTAGACTTCGTAATTTCCTACTTGTTTTTTCCATTCGAATTAATAAATACTCATTTATAATTACCATAACTACTTTTAATCGAAATCCTTTAATTATTGATTTTAAACACAATAATAATCTCCGATCAGACCGCTTGACAAGAGACGGGCTAATAAAAATAAAAAAAAAGTTAAAATTCTTAAGAGTTACCTTCTTCTCAACAAAATCAGCCTAAAAACGAGCTTGAGCCCTACGATAAGGATCAGAAGGCAACAAAGTAGCTTTATCAGACCAAACTTCATCAATGTATTCAACAATTATAAGAGACTCACAAACCGGTTTATTATTATGAACAAGACCCGGTATCTTTTTATGAACCGGATTCATCTTAAGTAGTAATTCACTCTTATTCTTCAAATCTTGTTCACTGTATTCATATTTCACTCCTTTTTCAGCTGATGCTATCCTCACTCTCATCCCAAATGGACTTGCCCAAAAATCCAACAATTGTACTACATTATCTGTTGCCCTTTTTTTTTTTTTTTTTTTTTTTTTGTGGAGTAAAAGAAAGGGAGTTGTGTTTTTAATAAGGTGTTTTTGATAACGTGGGTTTGAAGGGTATTTATAAAGGGTTTTGGAGAGTGAAGGAAAATTGTGGAGATCCTGGGTTGATGGATGATGATCCTACATTGTTGCATGTAAATTAGTTTTTCTTAATATAAAAGACAATAAAGATTTGAAACAATATTTTAATTAAATATATACTGAGTATATAAAGAAGGACAATGGTAATATAGGGGAAAAAATATAATAGTAGATTATATATCTTATAAGAAGATTTGTCAAAAAAAAAAATGGATAGAAAGTTTCCCATAATATATGTTTATAAGTAATATTTAAAATATTACTTTATTTGATTTATATATGAAAGAATAATAATAATTAATAAAAAAAGCTGGAAGAAAAATATTATAGGGATCGGGAATCAAATATCTCTAATTATGAATACTTGTGGCCTGGTAAAAAAACAGGTAATTAACTGGTAAAGAATAAAATTATATATGCTATGTATAATATAGGTATTTATCGTGCAATGGAAAAGTAACTGGTAAAGAATAAAACAGAAAAAAAAAGTTCTGTTAAATTAAGCCAACCATCTTTAGTAGTTTTCACCATTGGAAATTTTATACAGGTCATGGCATTTGTGTCAAACCGCATGAACTCTGTATAAAAAGCAAAGAATGAATGTAGTTGTAAAACTGTCCATACCTCTCTTTGCTCAGCCATATCACTAAGAACTTCTATAATGTCATTGAAAGTCACCTTCCCATTACCATCCGAGTCATAAACCTTGAAAATAACTGCAAAAGAGACAAGAGAATTTGTTTACTATAGCTGCTCACTGAAATTTGGAGCTTACACAGGTGTCATTTAACAAATTGTTATGTTGAAAGGGGCATTAATACAAGTACCACAGAAGAGTTAATAATCATTCTTTTAAAGGATTTAATGTAGAAGAGGGAGAGAGAATCTACAAAATAATCACACATTAAGATAAGGTGATAGTCACTGATTAACTCAATGACTGATAATCTAACCAGATTCTCAAATACTTAACTACACATCTATAAACAAAAAGGATTTATCTTTCTTTTTACTAATTTTCTTTTACTTCCTCAGTACATTTTAATTGCATCATTTGGGGTCTACAACAACTTATTTCAAAATTTGAGGTCTACTAACGTGCCACAAATTCTTGGCCTCACAAAGGCAAAGTAAATAGAAGCTGGTTCCAGGAAGAAATAATGTTAATTGAGTCTTTGGCTCTTAGCTCTTAAAGATTTATTGTCTAAAAATTTATACAAAGGGTGCCAGATTGTCACCTCAGCCATGGGTGGAAGCCATGGTATTCACTTGGTGTCATTCTAATTATGTATAATATCTTAACGATGAAAATCACTAGTCAACTTAGAAAACCCCTATGATATCTTGGCCCCACAAAATAAAATCCTTCTTCTCAGAAAACAATATTTCAATCCATATGCAATCCTAAAGTAAACAAAAACAGGAAGGATACAGTCATACAGCCCATCAAGTTTTTAAAATTAACTCAAAAAAATAGGATAGGCTGTTCTGCTAGCCATAATGTTGACCGAACCTTATTCCATTTACAAAGACTGAGATATTACTCAAGCAGCAGAACAATCAAAATTATGAGGTAGCACTCTTGCCTAGAAGATGAAGACAACAACTAATTGAGATAACCATTAGCAATCCCCGATAAACATAAATCTATCCGATCAAAATCGAAAACTTACGGGCAGCTTTCTGCTCAATGCTTGCTTTGGCACTAAATGCAGATAAGAATACAACAAAATCCTTAAAATTTAAACCATCAACCATCTTCAACAACCTCTGCATAAAGACACACCACGAATTCATAACATCAATTCCGCGAAAAAATCCTAATTAACAGTTAATTCATAATAGGCAACACGAGTATGATATCAAAATCTACACACTCAATACCTGAGCTAAAGGGTTCATTGCAAACTCCGGCACAGACATAAATTCATCGGATGAAATAAAACCTTTGGCAGTCCGATCAAGTTGACAAAATCTTTGATACAAAGAAACTATCTCTTGCTGATTGACTATATTAAAACAATAGCATATATCATATTTCATTGAATCATGACAAAATTTAGCATTCTACAAAATATAAGAGAAAATCAAAATAAACCCCATACACAATTTATTGCAGTGTTCTTGAACTTCTTCAATATCATATTGGGTAAGCGTTGATGGAGCATTACCCATTTGCTTCCTTCTCAATCTGTGATGCTTAGTCAAGCAAAAAAATAAAAATTAAAAACAACCCACTAATTATCATCGAAAACATCCCAAAAAAAATTATAGGAAAATAAAAAATTAAGCACGCCCTCTAAATTATAACTATCAAATAGATGCATTGAAACTTGAAAAGCACCCTTCAATTGAAATCCATAAAATGAAAATCGAGATTTACCAAAACAGCAATTCCTTCAGGATTGTATTAAATGATAAATGATTATCGTTAAAGTTGAGGTAAAATGAGCTTGACCACTATTTTACAGAATTGGGACTTTTTAGAGAAGAATTGTAAATATGTAATAGAAAGCTTCAGTCTTGGAGAAATTGGGAAGTGCTCTGATATTTTGTTGATTGGAAATTTTTGTGGGATGATACCAAAGTTGCTGGGAAATACTGTGATGAAATTTATGTATAGGTAGAAAATTGTATGAAAAAGTATGAGGGTGATTTACCTGGATTTTCAATACAGTTGACTGATTGTAAAAATTACAGAAACTGCTGGTACTAGTTCCGACCACCACCCTAACCGTCTAAACACCGACGCCTCCAATTACAGTCGATTGCTGCTCTAGAGTCCAGACTCATCGATTTACTTGTACCAAGGCTATGGTTTTAACCTTTAAGGGCCCACCTTGTTTTTGTTTGATACGACTTATTCGAGATGATCTGATATGAACTTATTTTATCTGATTTAAATTTATGGTTTGATTTGACTAAATCAATATGTAATTTATATATTGCATATTTTTTTCAATATGGAATTAATCATATTTAGAGATTAAAATATTGCACAAAAAGCGATTATGATATGAAATACCCCAAAATGTATAGGAGGCTCGCATATTATTTAAATAGAAGGCTCGTATATAGCAACCATAAGTCGACCACTCTGTGAGTGAGAGATAGCTCAATTGGTAAGAGCTTTCCTCCCGATTCCAGGTGATACTGGGATCGATTCTCATCCCCGCCCTAAGTGGCTCATATGAACCAAAAAAAAAAGGTCGACCACTCTTTGGACAATATTACCCTTCCCTTCTTTGTCTCCTCTTCTTCTTTTTCTCGCTACCACCAATATCGCTCATTTCACCACCACCAACCACCACACTTATCTAGCTACCACAACCATCCGAACATTTTTATAACACCGAAAAACCAAGTTGGCATCATTTGATCGCCATCGACATAAGCTTGTCATTAGTGGTAGTGTCATCGATGTAAGGGTATTTTGGTACATTCATTTAATAATTGTTAGTACAATGATAAATTACATAATGTTATAAAAAATGATTGTAGGGTCATAAGGAAGATGGAGAAGTAATATACTACAAGTACTATATGTTAGCAGGGTTTCTATATTAGGTAATAGGACAGTAAAAAAAAAAAAAGGCCATTATTGAGAAGTGGGCCACTTGAAAAAAAAACGGAAGGAGTGAAAAGTTAGTACTTCCATTTCGTATTAATTACAACAATTTGAGTTTTACACTATCCATAAAAAAAAATTAGGTGTACATTGTAGAGTTGTCCTAAAATGATCAAAAGTTACTCTAAAATAGGTAGCTAGAGTAACTTTTGATCATTTTAGGACAACTCTACAATGTACACCTAATTTTTTTTATGTAACTTTTTTATCATTTTAGGACAACTCTACAATGTACACCTAATTTTTTAGAGTAACTTTTGATCATTTCAGTGAGTAGCTATAGTAAACAAATTCTCTTGTCTCTTTTGTAGTTATTTTCAGGGTTTATGACTCGGATGGCAATGGGAAGGTGACTTTCAATGACATTATAGAAGTGCTCAGTGATATGACTGGTTCATTCATGACTGCTGAGCAAAGAGAGGTATGGACAGTTTTACAACTACATTCATTCTTTGCTTTTTATACTGAGTTCATGTGGTTTGATACAAATGTCATGACCTGTATAAAATTTCCAATTGTGAAAACTACTAAAGATAGTTGGCTTAATTTAACAAAACTTTTTTTCTGTTTTATTCTTTACCAGTTACTTTTCTATTGCACGATGACCATTCTAGTTCAACAGAAATATTTAAAAACTCACTGATGAATGACATTGGTTGAGCTGGGTAACAACTCCCCTTCCTCCCCTTCTCTCAAGTCTTAATATAGTGATAAGATGTCAAGCAAGCACTAAGTATACCAGAATATAGGAAAAATATTATCTTGTAAATAAAGAATTCATAATGTTGCCTTATGTCTGTAATGGCGGAAGGACTTTATCTGTGATGGGTAAATAATAGGTTGTTTGTTGCTTTACAACAAATAAAAGTAGAACATGTTTATATTACGTCATTTGATTTAGTTGATAGATTGCTCAATAGTAACGCTTTTGATTTAATTAAACAAGGACAAGAAAGACGTCATTGATCCAGACAAAATATTATACTAGCATTGTTGTTGCTTTTCCATCTTTTTGGATCATCCATGAGAATTTAATGCCTTCAGAAGTCATTCTGTACAAAACCTGCTTTCTAAAATGTTTCTGCTTAATATGCGACTAAAGAGAAATTAGAGCAGTTTCTGCTTCATTTGATTGATATGGCCATACTGGCATTACTTCTGCCTATTGTTAGCCTCATTTTTTACTTAGGCATTACTTGGTGCCATATTTGACATTGTCAATGTTAAATGAGCTGTTTGTGTATCGCCTTTTGTGCCAGAATTGAGCTGTGTGTGTATGGCCTTTTGTGCCAGAATTGATGTCCATCTGATGTGTTCATAGTGTACCGTGTAAGGTCAAATTTCTATAAATGTAAATAATTATTAAACCACAATATGCTGTTGTTACGTATTGCAGTTTTCAAATTTTCGTAAAGTATTGAATATACATGGTTTTTTTTTTTTTTTTTTTTTTTTTTTTTTTTGTGTGTGTGTGTGTGTAATAGGACTCAAACATGAAAAGTGTGTTATTCTTTCAAAAACTGCAAAGGTTTTTGTAACACCAGATGTGATAATATTTTGGGATGAAAAAAAAACTATTTGCTGCATCATTAATGGTCACTCTTATAATGTAAAACTTTCTTATATAGCATATAGGCTGATAATCTCTTGGACTCTTCATTAAAAAGATAATCTCTTGGACTCTATTTTATGATTTTATCCCTTTGTATAAGCTTCGTGTATGTGGGCTTTGCTATGCTTGTGTAAGTGGAATATATAAAGTGCAGCATCGGTCAGTCTCTAATTGTTTGTAATATGTGCCATAGGCGGTGTTGACGCAATTGTTGCAGGAAGCTGGCTACACAAGGGAGTCTTATTTGATGCTGGATGATTTTGTGAAGGTATCATTCAAAAATATAAATCTGAGACAACGATTTGTTAGTTCAGCTTTATTGCTGTTTCTCATCTCAAAGTTGCCTCTATATTATATTTCATGTATCCCCAATTCCACATCATATCATAATAACTCGTGAATTGATGTCTTATTTCCAATGTGCTTCAAGGTGATAAGAAATTTTAGGAGTTGCTGATCAGATAATCATTTTTTAAATTGTTGGTATATGGCAACATCTAGAGTTATGCATGACAGCCTCCATGATCTTCTGTTTTATATTGTCAAAAATAGAGTGCCAAAAAAAAACAGAAAAAAAAGAGAAACCATACAAAACTGTTTGATGGCTTGCTATTTACGGAATTTTGTGTTGATTAAACTATAAAAATTAGTCTTCTCATAATGTATAGGCCTACCGTTGTTATGTTCTTTCTTACCATGATTTAGCCAGTTAGCCCCATGCTGTTTTCAGTTTGTGCTATGTTACCTGTCTATCATCCTTGACATTGTAGGCATCAATTCTTTTAGGGCAGCTTTAACCTCTAAAAGTAGGAAGCTTCTTTTCAAAGATATTTTGTATTGGATAATCTTTTCAAGAGTTACAAATGAAGTTTTTTTTTCCAAGTAATTATGTTTGATCCTTTTCTGTCCATGATAAGTTCTACTGATAACTGTTGAATATGAACTCTGAAACTTGACAAAAAGCATTCTAAATATGCATCCTTTGTTTTCTTGAGTTGGGAAGTTCTAGGAAGTACAACTTCCTCTCCGACACCTAGTGTTTGTCTTGGATAGTGCTGAACATTCCAAACACCGAGCAATGCAAAGTTGATGTATTTCCCTGTAATAGTATCTGCCCGTGTTTGCTCATGTGAAATGCAAATAGGTGGGAGCTACAAATTGATTGCTTGGAAAGAAATATAGAATAATTGGAATTTGAGTGTTACTGTTTATATGTAGTATTAATATTAATGTTTGTGCTGATGACTTGGAAGTTTTTGTATTTGTTGTCACTTGTGAGCAACTTTTGATGCAACTTTATAATATATTTTTGAGTTACTCCATGCTGATTTAGGTGAGTATATTTGTAAAAACATTTGTATAGATTTCTAGAGCTCGTATTTCTTTGCATCATATGGACTGTCTTCAGTGATTTCACGAGCACCTATTTGCTATTGAATTCTGTGTGATTGTGCCTCTTAAACCTCTTTGCACAGCTCTTTATCCAAACCTGACCGAATTTTCTGGTCATACTCAGATTTTGCAAATTCGGACATGAAGATGGATGTAGAGATTCCAATAGATTAAGCATGCATTTGAAAGACGGCACTTATTAATAATCAGAAACAGATGTTGCTAGAATGTGTTGTGGAGCAACTGTGAACTTTATAATAATATGGACACACTATATCATGCAAAAGCAAATGGATTAGTTGCTTCATTGAATTGGGTTTAGATTTTTTTTTTCTTTTTTTCTCTTTTAAAAAAAAAAGAAAATATATTGTGAAGCTGACAATTTCTTTTTCTAGTGCGAAGTGCATCATTAGTTATTAGCTAACAGCCTTCAGGCCAGTATCTTCATAGCATACACTGGGTAAATGCACATTTACGGTTTCTGTCTTTAGATTATCATATCTGATGTATCGATCATACATACACACGTCTGTTTATTTTAAGATTTGCAATATTACCTTTTCTTTGCCTTCAAAGAAGTTTTACCTCATATGAAGTACATGTCCTTACTATTAAAAAAAAAAGTACATGTTTTTGGCCAATTTAGCCAATCTTCAATTTTTATATTTTTCTCGAGGACAATTGATCGGATAGCTGATGTTGGTTATTTAGTTTGTATACTTGTATAGATTTTCATACTTATCTCGACGATTACATTTTCAATCATGGAGGAAAAATTTGGCGAAGTACTGGTTAGAAATTTGAAAGGGTAAAATTTCAAAGCTGCTATTATTTCACATATCAAATGAAGCCAAAACTTCTGCTGAAATACAGCCAAACTTTGCACCTTCTCAAGTAGGTGAAGGTGCAAGTCAACAAACAGAGCCGCAAAGCTTGCAGCTTTCAAATTAGCATATAGACAATATTCCTTTGATCAACTCCTATGCAGTGCGGTTCTAGTAACATCTACCTTAGACCACCGCTATTCTACATCCTGGGTTCTTGTAACATGATTTCTCGTACTCAAGGTTGTTTCTCCTAAACAAGAGTTAAGTAGAGGCGATAACATGAATCAACGATAGGGTCCTTAATAATGGATGAAAAATCTACCGCGAATTTTCCTAAGAGTGCTGAAGGTAGTAGTAGCAGTGGCAGCAGCGACAGCAATAGAAATATTGTAGCACCCATGGAAATCCTGAATAACAGACTGGACGTACTTGAACAAGAAGCTGAAAACATGAAGAAGATGTTGCTTGTTTCCATGAATGAGAGGAGAAAGACTATCACTGAGATTCTGCAGCTGTTCCAGACTCTATGCAGACATTTATATCATTCAGAAGCCAAGCATCCCCTCAGTTTTCACAAGGTAAGCTACCTTAGGATGATGCAAGTGTTCATAATATTTGATATGGTTTAAAATCTGTGGAAAGTTATGAATTCATGATGGCCTTTTATAGTTATGATAAGTTCATACAAATTTTCATAATAATGTATTTTTCTACGCGAATATATATTGGCAATTAGCGTTACCAATATTAATGAAAGTTTGTGAAGGAAAGGGTAGACAAACCATGAATTATAATTTTGGGTTTTGCAGACAAGCGCTTCAGGATCTTAATTACGGCATTATACCTCTTATATAAACCCTACTTTTAAACTTGTGACAATATTGACAATATTACTGCCTATAAAATGACCGAACAAGTCATGAGTTATATAGAGGATAATACTTCAATCTACATGAACATGACATTACCCTTCATACTCTTCATACCCCTCTGCACAGAATACTAATACACAACACTGGAGCTGTATACCTACGTCCTACATGTTGAAAGATGAATGCCTTGACTATTGATCATTGCGTTATTTGGTTATTATCGCAGCAGGAGACAAGGCACCAGAATATCGGTCTATTACAAGTTTTGTGTGAAGATTCCAATCCATTCCTGGTCTTGCGGAATTCTACCAAGACAAGTAGCCTTTCCTAGTTTTCTAAGAAATAGTGTGTTTAAGCTACATGATTCTGGATGGTTATAATATGTACTCGTCCACTTTGAGTCATTACATTATCTACTTTCTAGAACTTAGGCATTTCAAAATCATATACTTATGTTTTCAAACTCGAGTTGATTATATGTTCCTGTCAACTGCCTTGATCAACACCCTGCTAACGACAAATCTCAAGCATCAACTTGCAGCAAAGCGAACTATGAACTAGATCAATTATTGAAAGCAGTATTGACAAAAATATTACTCTAATGTGAATGCATGGCAGCCAGAGATTCTGTTCTGATTTCCACGGGTGAGTAATTTGCTTATTCACAATATATTCATCAAACTTTTCAAATACACCATATACCCCCGAGTCTAACAAAATGCCCCATATACCCAAATGCCCCATATACCCAAATGATTAACGGACGTCAATTCCGTTAGACATTAAGGGTTAATTGTGCCACGTGACATCTCTTGATTAGTTATTTTTTTAATTTATTAATTAATTATTAATAAAATCAAAATATTTTAACAAAAAAACAAGCCAGCTACCGCCGCTTCCCCTGAACCCAGCCACCGCCACCGCCGCCTCCTATGAACCCCACGCCAACACCGATGTCGGCGCAAATCCCACCTGAACCCCTGCGCCGACGTCAGCCCGACCCAACCCCTTGAAATTGGCCCAAACCACCATCCCCGCAACACCTAAAACCCCTCCCTCCCTCGAAAAAACCTCCCTCCCCACCTGCCGGCGCTCCAAAACCCCCTCCCCCGTACCGGAGAACACAATTCACCCCTCCCCCTACCACCTCCACCCTTTCCCCAACTTCATCGCTGGCGGCTGCAGAAAATCACCACCCCGAAACCCTAAAACTCCAAAATCGAAACCCTAATTTTGGTTTTAAGATATCGATTTTGGTTTTAATAAGGTTTTAGCGTGCTAGTTCAAGGGGAAAAGGGGCGTTAATGGCTGGGAGAGTGGCGAATTAAGTTCGCCGGCGCAGAAGGAGGGGTTTGGGCGCCGATGAGTGGTGATGGAGGGTTTTTCGAGGGAGGTGGTTTTCGGGTAAAGGAAGGATGGTTTAGGGGAAAGGGAGGGGCGTTGATGAGGCAAGGGGTTTTGGGGTGGCGCTGACGCTGTAGTTTAGGGCAGAGCGCCGGCGAGGGGTGGTTAGGGTGGGGGCAGGTGGCTGGCTGGGGAGTTGTGGGTGGTTGGGTTTATTTTTTTTGTTTTTTATAATTATAATTAAATAATTACTTTAATTTTTTATTGATTAAAAGAAATATAGACTAACGAGTTAATGTCCTTTACTAATTTGCGCATTTGGTGACATTGTTATTAAACTCAGGTGTATATGGTGTATTTGAAAAATTTCATAGGTATAATGTAAATTAACGAATTAGGTATTTGTTGAAATAACCATTGTTTTAATCCTCCATCAAGCGTGACCAAGGGCATCTGAATTCTGGTAATGGTCAATACACTTTGACTGAATCTAAGTCAACAATATATTTTTGGATAATTTGTAAATTACCACAAAAAAATGTACCCGTTTTTAAAATAACCACAAATTTAATTTTTATTTTTATTTTACCACCTCTTAAATTAAATAACCGCTCAGATTACCACCCATTTCAAAATTTTGATGGTTTTCCGTCTGTGGACCCCACCTAACGGGTGGTAATTTAAATATTTTCCCCATATTTTCAATTTTTTCCCTCAATTTTTTCTCAAACTGGGGGTTATGGAGCCCAGAGTTCCAAACTCCCAAACTGTACGTCGGTCATGTAGGACGTGTGCATGAAACACATAGGTAGAACGACGAGAAAAGTGTGAGCTGCAATTGTGCACCAAGTGCATAGGCTAGTTGCGTAGGGCACACAAAGTTGTCAGCCCCCTCTGTGCTCAAAGACGAAGGCTTTTGCTTAACTCTAAAGTATTAGGGGTACGGTTTTAACCGGTTTTAACCGGTTCAAGGAGATATTCTAAGAGTTTAGAGTAGATCGGGTCCACATAAGAGCCGTTTAGCTAGGGGTGAAACTAATGCGGTTTAAAACCGAATCAAACCGCAAATCACACCGAATTTGAAAATGTGGTGCGGTTTTTTTTCTAATATGGTTCGGTGCGGTTTGAGAATCCCAGAACCGAATTGATATGGTTTGGTTTCGGTTTTAAGATTTAAAAAACCAAAAACCGAAATACAAACTGAATTATAGCCCATATCCAAATTATAGCCTAGCCCAATAATAATTTCTACCTTACATATATAAAGCCAAAAAATAATAAAACTTAGTGTTTTTTTTAGGTCCTAGAATGTCAACCAATGTGGGTCATGTTGGAGTGAATGACCAGTTAGATGGAGCAAAAAGGAATAGGATGAAAAGTTTCGGTGTGGTTCAGTTTCTTTTGAAAAGCCGAATTTAAAACGGTGTGGTTTGATTCGGTTTCAATACTAATATGGTGCGATGTTTGAAAAATCCCAAAATCAAATTAATGTGGTTTGGTTTCGGTTTGGGCTATAAATCACACCGAAAACCGAACTTCCACCCCTACGTTTAGCTAGGCAAGAGAAGATAATGGTCCGATCCATCACGAGCCCATCATAAGCTCGACACAGCTCAAGAGGCACTCTAGTACCCCATGGGCTTTATTAACAAAATTTTGCTCAAACCTATATCATAAACATGACAAGTCAACCCGTGTTTCGGTCCACTTATTTTTAACCAATTTACCAAAAATATGTACTGTATATAAAATAATATAGCTTACTAAATCATAGCATGTTAAATAGGGAGTCACTTTTTGGTATCTATGGAAGCCCTCACTTTAGAAGAAATCCTATGAAGATAATTTAGGGGGTTTTTTATATCTTATATTAAAAAAAATCTAAGAAACCGTATTAGATTGATATATGATTTTTTATTTTTAACCTATGAAAACAGATACCTCTATTATAAGGTTTTGTATCTAAGATATTGGATTATGGTGATATATGGTTTCTTAGTTTTCACCCACAAATGGGATATCTCTCTTATAAGGTTTCTTTATTTAAGAAATCATATAAGTGAATTTTATGGTGTCTTAAGAATGGTTCCTTAGGCCTTTTATATGGTGTCTTAAGACTGGTTTTTTAGGCCTTTATTACAGTACTCCGTAGCTATGTTTGCCTATAGTGGGGTCAACCTTGCTTTAACCAGGGCTAATGGCAGTCAGATTTGCTGGTGACGGTCAATCTGCCTAGAATGGAGTTAATGACAGTTTATTCTTGCCTTGATTTTCTTGCCTTGATTTTTATAGGGATAGCATGCTTGCTAATTTTTCTCTAGGATAGAACAATCTGAGCTTGATTTTGACCTAAAAACGATTCTGAGACCTTAGCCTTGCATGAGGATTGAGGTTTAGAAAGTTAGACCCTATGGCTTGATGTTCAAACTTGTGTGCGCACATACGTGTGTGTGTGCGCTCTGATACATGAAAGGATTATGCTTTGATATGGACAATGCATGAATACCTAACTTTAGCACGGTTAGATGACTTCATTGACTCATTGG